GCGTTACTCCAGGTGAATCGTGAGCTGGACAACGTCCCTGCTGCATTACCGGTATTAGTGCGCAAAATGGACGTCATCTCGGAGAGGGTCACCAGACGGTGTGGGGATGATTAGTACCTAAATTGGCTTCACTGGAGGAATTGAATGATCAATACAGACTGAAGGCAGAGGGAAAATTATCTCTGCCTGAACCAAACAAAGTCTTGTTATCCAAATCTGACGCCAAGGCAGCCTTGAGCTGCTAACAACAACCCCCACAAAGGAAGGAATGCAGACAGATGCTGTGACCCCCCCCCCCCCCCCCCCCCCCCCCGCCTGCAGATTGTGGACTTCTGGCTAGCGAGGTCATCAACCTGCAGGAACTCAAATGTGGTCTGCGCTCCTCCAAGATCTCCCTCCCTCCTGTGGATACCGCTAGCTGAGCGCCACACAGGGCTGCTCCCGCTGGGGACACAGGATCCCAGCCCCCCCCCCGCCTCCCTATCGGAGTCTCATGTTGTGAACTGTGATGTTCGTGCTTATATATTTGAGACGTTTTTTTTTTGCATAGTAAAGCTACGCCCTGCCGGGAGTAACTCTGGTATGCCTTTTTTCCCTCCCCCAATTTATCCTCATGTACAGGTGCTGGCCAGTAAATTAGAATATCATCAAAAGGTTGAAAATATTTCAGTAATTCCATTCAAAACGTGAAACTTGTACATTATATTCATGCAATGCACACAGACCAATGTATTTCCGATGTTTATTACGTTTAATTTTGATATTTATAGGTGACAACCAATGAAAACATCAAATCTGGTATCTCAGACAATTAGAATATTCTAAAGGCCAATGAAAAAATGTTTGTTTCTCTAATGATGGCCAACTGAAAAGAATGAACATGAAAAGAATGTGCATGTATAGCACTCAATACTTAGTCGGGGCTCCTTTTGCCTCAATAACTGCAGTAATGCGGCGTGGCATGGACTCGATCAGTCTGTGGCACTGCTCAGGTGTTATGAGAGCCCAGGTTGCTCTGATAGTCGTCTTCAGCTCCTCTGCATTGTTGGGTCTAGCGTATTGCATCCTCCGCTTCACAATACCCCATAGATTTTCTATGGGGTTAAGGTCAGGCGAGTTTGCTGGCCAATCAAGGACAGGGATACCATGGTCCTTGAACCAGGTGCTGGTGGTTTTGGCACTGTGTGCAGGTGCCAAGTCCTGTTGAAAGGTGAAGTCTGCATCCCCATAAAGTTGGTCAGCAGCAGGAAGCATGAAGTGCTCTAAAACTTCCTGGTAGACGGCTGCATTGACCCTGGACCTCAGGAAACAGAGTGGGCCAACACCGGCAGATGACATGGCACCCCACACCATCACTGACGGTGGAAACTTTACACTGGACCTCATGCAACGTGGATTCTGTGCTTCTCCGCTCTTCCTCCAGACTCTGGGTCCTTGATTTCCAAAGGAAATGCAGAACTTGCTTTCATCAGAAAACATAACTTTGGACCACTCAGCATCAGTCCAGTCCTTTTTGTCCTTGGCCCAGGCGAGACGCTTCTTGCGCTGTTTCTTGTTCAAGAGTGGCTTGACACACGGAATGCGACACCTGAATCCCATGTCTTTCATGAGTCTCCTCGTGGTGGTTCTTGAAGCGCTGACTCCAGCTGCAGTCCACTCTTTGTGGATCTCCCCCACATTTTTGAATGGGTTTGTCGTCACAATTCTCTGCAGGGTGCGGTTATCCCTAGAGCTTGTACACTTTTTTCTACCACATTTTTTCCGTCCCTTCGCCTGTCTGTTAATGTGCTTGGACACAGAGCTCTGCGAACAGCCAGCTTCTTTAGCAATCACCTTTTGTGTCTTGCCCTCCTTGTGCAAGGTGTCAATGATTGTCTTTTGGACAGCTGTTAAGTCAGAAGTCTTCCCCATGATTGTGGTGCCTTCAAAACAAGACTGAGGGACCTTTTAAAGGCCTTTGCAGGTGCTTTGAGTAAATCAGCTGATTAGAGTGGCAGCAGGTGTCTTCTATATTCAGCCTTTTCAGAATATTCTAATTTTTTGAGATACCAAATTTGGAGTTTTCATTAGTTGTCACCTATAAATATCAAATTTAAATGTAATGAACATTGGAAATACATTGGTCTGTGTGCATTGCATGAATATAATGTACAAGTTTCACGTTTTGAATGGAATTACTGAAATATTTTCAACCTTTTGATGATATTCTAATTTACTGGCCAGCACCTGTATGTAATCCGCTTTTCATCTTTTAAGGTAGCGCGACTCGTGTTGCAAAGGACCACAGTCACCAATTGTTGTCATGTGTCTTGCCCATGTATGTCTGATCTCTGAAGTGTGTGTACTGAAACTCAATTTCATTTTCCTGTAAGTCTTGCACATGTGGTAGAATTGACAATAAAACTGACTTTGACTTTGATCTCCTCTAAACTCTCCAGAAAATCTGTTGCCTGGATTCTTACTTTTTCACCTCATCAGTTACTTTAGAGCAGATCAAAGGATCTCCTGAACGCAACGCAGAGAGAGCGCTTCGATGCTGCGTCAGTGAGGTGAAATCACCGCAGCACAGGTGTGTCAGGAACGATTAAAAGAGAGTACCAGAGGACATATACGATCGTGTGTTAATTATAGTTTTTTGGTTGCGCCACTTTGAGAATGGACCATGCGCAGAATGCAGCTGCCTGGAGCGCACCAACGATCATCGCTCGGCCGCTCTAGGTGCTCTCAAAGAACCCCCGGTAGCTGAGAGTCCATACTGTAAATGATGTAATATAGGTGGAAACATTTTCCCGCCTCTCCCTGGATGTGTAGGCTATCCAGCTTCCCCATAATTTGATCCCTACTCCTGGATGAAAAACTGGACATTATCATAAATGTAAGAGCCCTCCCGGACGCCCCGGACAGAGAGTGAAAAGTGGACACGTCCGGCCTCCTGGTTTGATGCCAGCTCCGGCTTACTCCACGCAGTTTATGGAAGATTTAAACACGAAACGGGAGACTGTCTTAAATGCAAGACAGAGCTTGGTCATGCTACTCTCCAGGCCAGCACATGTCAGCATGGAGTGCACCGGGGTGTGGGGTGGTGAGGGTGCGTTCAAGAGTTGGGGTTGCTAAGCCGTTGCTTGGCCCAATCTTGGGGTTGCTTTAAGGGTGGAGGCTTAGGCTCGTGTTTTATTACTCAGCTCTATTGTGGTTTATTATTATTAAATTGGGAGAATCAGCTGAAACTTTTGAGGGACATTTGCTGAACCTGAATCCCAGAAGGTGTCCAGAGAGATAAAAAGTGCCGCCATGACCACTACTTTTTGGTGTTACCTCATGACCCAGCTCATCTTCCTCAAAGTGGAAGGATCGTTATTAAAACCCTCGCTTTGGAGTCAGACTCCGGCTACAGGTCTTCTTTTCTCGTCTTCCTGCTAAACAGCTGATCTGTCAGCTGGACATTCATCCTTCTCCTCTTTAAACATAAAATCCCACTAAACTACTGAGATAATCTGTCACAGATCGCTGCGATATCTAAACCTTTGCCGTGAATTCGGTCTCACTGCTCCACAGCTCCGCTCCGTGACAGCTCACACCTGCTGTCATGGAGCACAGCTTCCTGTCCCTCTTCAGCAAAACGCTACTAAACCATCCTTATCGGTTTCATATGTTGGATTTCCACCAACAGCAAAGGGATCTCATGTTTTTGTGTATTAATTTTATGTTTGTGAGCTCATCTCCTCTGACTCTCACAGATCACAGAATCACGGTTTTCACAATTTATCTGCTGGTCTAAAAATTTGGTTAATTATTTTAGTCTAACTCCGGTTTAACTTGGGCTGTTAACAGAAGTAAAAACTGGTGTGTAGTTTATAATCCGCATTTTAAACATGAATTGAAACCAAAGCTCAGAGAGGCGGAGTCTCGCTGCCGCAGCGTCCCAAATGTTTGTTTTCATTGGTCGATTGCAGACAGGAGTCGTAGGTTTTAAGCATGCTTCAAGACTGTCGACGGATGATTTGGGTCGTGAGACGGCTCAGAAAGCTGTCGTAGAGCCGGTCATATTCTACATTCACACATACGGAAATCACCCTCATGTTCACCCTGTTTTTGCTCAGAACGAGGGATTTGGCTAAGACGGCCAGAAATCGCACAATGTGCCACGGTAATCCACCGAGATAATATTTTTTTTTAAAAACAAGATGGTCAACTTTTTTACCGGGGTTTACCGCTACACCCATTACCGTGACAACCCTAGTAGTGACCAAAAGAACGAGATCGCGGATACAAGCGGTCGAAATGAGTTTTCTCCGAAGAGTGGCTGGGCTCTCCCTTAGAGATAGGGTGAGAAGCTCGGTCATCCGGGAGGGGCCCAGAGTAGACCCGCTGCTCATCCACATCGAGAGGAGCCAGTTGAGGTGGCTGGGGCATCTAGTTAGGATGCCTCCTGGACGCCTCCCTGGTGAGGTTTTCTGAGCACGTCCAACCGAGAGAAGACCTACAGAAGACCCAGGACACGCTGGAGGGACTATGTCTCTTGGCTGGCCAGGGAACGCCTGAGGATTCGCCCAGAGGAGCAGGCCCAATTGGCTGGGGAGAGGGAAGTCTGGGCCTTCCTGCTGAGGCTGCTGCCGGGAACCCGGATGAGCAGATGATGATGATGGATGAATGGACAGTATGTAAATGTCAGAAGTCACTACAATACCCACTGTTAAACAGACACAAATCTGCAGTAGACAAGGACACTGTCCTACATGGTTTTGAGACACGCCCACATCTACCATGGAGACTAGCTCCAAGATTAATGTGAACACTGGCTGATATACGGACCAACTAGTTATTTGGTAGAGTCTAGTTTTCCCGCTGAAGTAAATCTCTGTAAATTAGGACACTGGTGCCTTCCTGAGTTGATCTTTAACGATTAATGATCAGAAGAAAAGGAAGTGTCTCCACACCAGTTAAAGACCTGTAGGATACAGAGATGGACCGAGTCAGAGCAAAACTCATCTGAAGTTCACCTTCCAGATCTTGGAGGGTGACATCCCTGAGACTGTCCTTCTTCATTGCAGCAGCAGCCTCTTCACACTGTTTACGTCTCATTGGGTACTCACTCCCCGTCAGAGAGTGTTTCACATTGGAGTTGGTGACGAGGACCACCAGATCGGGATCTGCCATTGGGACCAAGGTGGCTTCCAGGGACCTGCATCCAATCACAGACAGGTACAGTACTGAAACTGGTCCAACTCTGGGTCACTAAAGCCTGCAGAAGGGATCTCTGTCACTGGCTTGAGTGTGGTACCTGCAGTCAATGAGCAGAGCATGTCCCTCCCTACCAAAGACGGACACAAACTGGTCCATGATGCCACACGGTACTCCAGCATGTGTGTGTTCAGCCTGCTGGCACGCTAGAGCTTTGGACAGGTTATCTCCATCATCTGTGGTGAAGGGAAGAGATTGTACCAGAGATGACTGGAAAACATATCAACACGCACCAGTGTGTGTGTGTGTGTGTGTGTGTGTGTGTGTAACCTGGACCAACAAACGAGGCTGACGTTAGCTTCTGATTTGGTAAATGGCTAAAGGGCAATTACACCCACTGTTTCTCTATTCTGACCATCTGCTCTGGCACACCTACACCCTTCAAACCTGTACTAGATAGACCAGGGTTACTTAAACATAATGGTCCGAGGGCCACTCGACAAAACAACCTTGAGGCGCGAGATCTGGTCCAGGAGAGTGGTGGGGACGGTCGGATGAAAGACCACCGCACACCTGCGCTGTCCCTACGCCTCCAGCTCATAGCGCTCTTCTAGACCAGTAGGAGATCATTTAAAACATCCATCCATCCATTTTCTGAACCCGCTTGTCCACGCAGGGCCGCGGGGGGGTGGGGGGGGTGGGGTGGGGGGGGGGGTGGGGGGGGGGGTTGGTGCCTATCTCCAGCGGTCAACAGGCAGTCAGGCGGGGTACACCCTGGACAGAGAGCCAGTCCATCGCAGGGCAACACAGAGACACACAGGACAAACAATCACACACACACACACACACACACACACACCTAAGGACAATTTAGACAGACCAATCAACCTAACAGTCATGTTTTTGGACTGTGGGAGGAACCCGGAGAGAACCCACGCGTGCGCAGGGAGAACATGCTAACTCCATGCAGAAAGATCCCAGGCCGGGAAGCGAACCCGGGACCTTCTTGCTGCAAGGCAACAGCTCTAACCACTGCACCACTGTGCAGCCTCATTTAAAACATAGTTTGTGAAACTTTTTTCTGATTTGTGAAACTTCAAAAAGCCAGATTTGTGCATTTTTAAGCATCTACACAACATTGGAGCTGGTCCTGTGCAAAAGCTACAACGCCCACATTCTTCAACCCTGGACTAGATTATTCTGCACAACTAGCACAACAATTAAAACCAACCCAAAGAGTTGTCAAAGCTTTACATAGAAGGTAATGTTATACCTTTTCATGCATGTTGACCACAGAAGAACAGATTTCATACAGCTGTCCGGTTTTTCTTTATTTCCTGTTCTCGCAGAATGAAACTATTTGGGTTGTTCTCTCCTCAGAGATGACACCATACATCTGAGCTGACAGTCTGTATAGCTGACACCTTCATAGAGGGGACATCCACTGAGAAGCTGCGACCAGCACCATGACGTTCTCCTAGAAAGTGATCCTGTTGTAGTTCTTCCATGTCTTTGTTCTGGGAATAAGATGACTTGTTCAGATTTTGACTCGATTTCCAATTCCTTTCAAGTGTCTTTAAATTACGGATTGCTGCGTTGAGTCACGCGCTGCAGCCATAGGCGTCATTTTAACCGGGGAAATTTGTGATTGGCAGCTGTGTCCCCCCCACTTTCAAAAACGCCTGCTGATGAGGATTTTTGTTTTACCAGCTCAGATCTTATACCAGGGGTCGGCAACCTGTTCCCATCAAAGAGCCATTATTACCCGTTTCCCACGGTAATTTTGGACGAACCTTAATAAGCAGTGACTTAGTGAAGCAGGCAGGTCGCACTAGAAAATTTAGTTTAAAAAGACGTCATAAATGTTTCCCCTGTCCTTTTTATTTATAAAATATGAAGTAAAAACTCACAATTTAATTTTCATTCATTTGTCATTAATATCTAGTCTACACCCGTGCGTTAAGTGGACCATCTTCCAGTAAAAGCAAAGCATCCGGCCCACCTCTCCAAATGCGTAAAATGTGCATCAGCCGCTAGTTAGGCGCGCCGCGCGCACCGTCAGCTACGTCAGCCCAGACAAGAGCAGAGCAACTAGAGAAAGAATAGAGGATAATTGTGTCTGGATGTGGATGGAGATTACATTTTACAGCAGCCTGATCATCATTTAAATACGTAAACCATCACCTGTCTTCTAGTCCACGCTATCAGCATTATTTTAATTGGTGTGTGTGTGTTTTCCACTTCAAACACTGGTCTAACCAACCAGACCAGCGTGTCCAGTAACGTATTAATGTTACAATTAAACAGTTTCACTTCATGTAGGCTAGGAACGTTTCATCTGCCGTAGCCCGACCGCTTCTGCTCCATATGAACTTTGTGCGTGATCAAATGTCTCTACGCATCATGCGTCTCCATATTAGAGACGGGAACAAGCGCTGTTCAGCCAAAGTTTCATAATTTCATAAAAAGAACATTTTTCCAAGTGACACATCCCTCAGAGAGACCGGGTTTCCAGACCGCTTCAGTGGGAGGAAATCTTATCGCATGCGCCGTGGTTCTGCACTGCGCTGCGCTGCGCTGCGAACCCCAGATCTTCAGCTCACTGTCCACCGTGGGCGCTCCGAGCCACGCTTAACCAGTATAAAGCTCTGATGTTCTGATGGGAATCTTTTACCTCCGCGATGTGAGTTAACGATTAAAATGTCAGCTCATCCATGCGCATCCGTGTGCGTCGGGGTGATTCTTTCAAACCAAGCAACATCCTTGAGTTCATCTGTCAAAATAAACAGTCAAATGTAAATATCTGTAACCTGCCGTTTAACTGTTTTGCCTTCCTGTGAAGATTGTTGCAAAGAGAAACAATTAAACTTGATTAACCCCAGAGCCACCCAGAGCCACCCAGAGCGCATGCGGGAAGGTTCCTCCCACTGAAGCGAGTGTTTTCCAGACCCGGTCTCTCAGAGAGACTTGTCACTTAAAAAATGTTCCCTGATTATGAAACTTTGGCTGAATAGCGCTTGTTCCTGTCTCCAATGTGGCGACACATCCAGGATCTGAGGAGAATCCCAGAATCTCACATCCTCTTCAGCTCAGGAAGCACCTATGATTACGCACAAGCATGACGCGCCAACCCGGTCTCACAGTAAGACTGGGTTGGGCCTGTTCAGGTTTACGCAGACAATCTTTACATTTAGAATTAGCTTACAGATGTAAAATTAATGCAGTAAAATATAAAGCATTTTATTTAAATATCCATTCATTATTTTACAAGCACAGAGAGCCGGATGGAAGAACCGCATGCGGCTCCAGAGCCGCCGACCCGTGCCTACTTTATTGTCCCCAGGAATTTTTAAACCCCACTCAAGTGTATGGTTATTGTCCCCAGCAATTCTGAAAACAAACTGACGCCCTTGGCTGCAGCGCACCTAAACTATAAACTGCACAGGTGCTAAAGATCAGAAAACCATTTCACAACTCTCAAAGGTGGTTTTAGTTGTTCTGCTAGTAGTGCAAAAAAATCTAGTCCAGGTTTGAACTGACCAGGTCAGCGGCCTCCAGCAGGTCGCTCCCGAGCTACCAGTACCGACCGCTCACCTGGAAGCAGCCAGCGGGCCATCCTGACCTGTCATTAGCGAGGGCGAGCCGTCCTGTAATATCTCATCTAAAATTCATTTTGTGGAAGTAAAATAAAATCTGATTGTTGCACAAATCTCCTGGTGAACGGGTGAAACGATCAGGCTGCAGCACAGACCCTTTCTTTCAGCTGAGACCAGCGGCTGCAGGTGGATGCAGACCCTTCTAAAGAGACGGGGTGATGCCCGTTACTCAGACCTGCCTTCAGTAGAATGTTCAGTAACAGCTCGTTAACGCTGTTCGTTTGTGAACACATGAGGAACACATGATGAACACATGATGAACACATGAGGAACACATGAGGAACACGGGCTCTGCACATCTCCTCTGAGTTAGTTTCAACACATTTCCCTCAACAGTTTCAGCTGATCGGCCCGTTTAGTACTGAAAGCCCCTTGTGAAGGCTCTCTCTCTCCTCTCTCTCTGCTCGCTGTTGCACAGCCGTCAGACCTGCAGAGAACAAACAGGCTCCGCCTACAACCACACCTGCAGCCTTCATGCTGGCAGCGATTAATGCAGCCAAGCACCATTTAGCTGTAGTTAGTCACTAGTGAAGAAAGCCTCACTGTCAGGAGCAAAAACCCATAAAGATGACTGAATAAACCAGGAAAGCAGGAAGAAATGTTATTTCTGTTTTTACTTCACTTGTGTTTTCATCACATTTAACTTGTATTTTATTTAAATACCTTCAGCTTCATTCGTTTTATGAGAATTGTTGTGTTGCAACAACATAATTACTGGATTTGTACGAAAGGACACTTAAAGACGATGACATGCTCTCTAAAGGCCTTCCACAGTTTATGGAAGTATTTGTTCATTTATGACTAAACAGAATGGAAACCTGACATTGCTGCTTCAGCTCTGGGCAGGTCCCAGAACCAGGGGCTAAACAGGACCAGGCTAGCTGGTACTGACCCTAACCCTGACTCTCTAATCCGTCCACATGTGGGACACTTTTATTTATTTTGAGACAGGATAACAAACTGCTTAACGGTTTTGTTCTTATTGTTTACATGTTATTTATTCATGTTATACTTTATTTAAATAAGCAAAAGCAGAGTAATGCTACAGAACAAACAGTAAAGCACAAAAAGCAGCTGTATGCATAAAACAGCTTCATCAGGGCTGACTTGATGCCAGCAGAGCCAACCACCTGCTGACCCACATTTATACAGCTGGTACACCGCAGCGGTCTCTGCCTTCATCAGCCTCCGTCCTCACACTCCTCCAGTCATTAGGGAGGCGACGGACTCGGGTTTACTTTGTTTCAGCTCTCTAGAGGACGCCCGGCACCACGAGGTGTGGCTCTTCCTGACTTGTGGGGTCAGGGTTCTCGCTGGTGTTGCCTTTAGCTGCTGCTTACTTTCACAAAATGTTTGAGTTTTTTAGTGTTTTCATTTGCAAAATGCAGAGAAGGCGTCTCCTCCTCTCATAACGTGACTCGGGATCAGTCCTGTGACCCGCGGTGGCTCATCGGGACTTCTTAATACTTTATTTCTGATACCGGTACCGACCGAATGTTTTCACTCAGTCCCAAAGAGGTCCAGAGTTCTGGTCACCAGCCCCTTGCTCGTGGTCTGCTGAGATGTTCTACGTTTCTCCTCTGCTGGAGGTCTGTGTGGTCTGTTCTGTTCATTACTGCAGTAGTGCGGAAGCTAATAACGTTACGTGTTCAGAGTACTTTGACCCGAGGCTGCAACTTTACAAACTAATATTAAGACCCAGTTGTCAAAATTCAAGACTTTTTAACAACTTTTTAAGGTATTATTTCCTAATTCCTCATTGTAAGACTTTGCCGAGTTAGGACTAGGGTTATTTACTGTGAATAACTCGTATGGCGGTAGCTCTTCTGTACTTTCAGTGTGTAACAGTAGCTCATGGGCCAGAACAGGTTGGAGACCTGAGGTCTGGGAGTTGTAGTTTTGAAGCTACAGCTGTTTTAGTGTGGTCCAGATGCAGAAAACATGCTAAACTCTGGCTTTTGTTGAAGTTTCACAAATAAGAAAAAGGTCTGACAATCTGTGTTTTATGTAATCTGCTATTAGAACCATCTGGGGCAGGTCTGAAGGGTGTAGGCGTTGTGGTTTCTACAGGAGATGGTCAGAGCCCTTTAGCCATTTCCCAAATCGGAAGCTAACTTCAACCTTGAGACCAACAGAAACTGTTCGTCCTTCATCTCCACTCTCACCTGGTTTGAGCTGCTGTAGAAAGGTGTACACGGCTACCTCAAGGGAGGCGGAGCTGGACAGTCCTCCACCCAGGGGGACACTGCTGGCTACCACCGCCCTGAAGCCTGGAACCGGAGCTGCTGCAGGACAAGAGACGTGCTGATGTTAGCGCTGCATGGGAACAAAGCCCGTCTCATGCTCCAGCCGCAGTAAAGAAGGATGGTTGTTTAAGCTGCTAAAGGTCTGGTTTGATTCCCATTGGGCGGTCATTTAGCAAGAGCTGGGAGCTCTGGCTGGAACTGGGAAAATAGGAAGTGAGTTCACTTTTAATGAAATGGTTGCTTTTAAGGAATATTACATTTTATTGAACACCTTTGTACTCTATTGACAATCTGTTATGAGGATATAGGCTGGTGCTCTACGCCTGACCTGCCTCAGTGCACTTATACCCCTCTCCGGGCCTATACGGGTCATCAGCTGGGGACCACCAATCATAGAAGTTATAAGTCATAGATATCAAAAGCAACCACCAGGGAGCTTGCTGAAGCGAACATAGTTAGGGCTGTGCGACCTGACGACATAAGACCGGTCAGGATTGTAAAGTGATGAAGATCCACCAAAGCTCGGGGATCGTACTTGCCTTCTATCACCTGTGCCGTTATTTCTGAACACATCTATGGGCACACATTATTTCTCAGCCGAGTCGTGCTATTTGCTAGTCTGCGTGTGTCGGCATGACAGATGCACAGATGAACCAATCAGAGCGCGTCGAAGCTGGGGTGCTCTGTAGAGCTGAGAACCTTCAGACATGCTTACAGTAAAACTGTCTTAAGTTGCTCCAATGCAGCTAGTTCCAATTGTAGCATACATTAGCAACGCTACGCCCTCGAATAATCCACTCCTGAAACGTTGTAAAAGTAAAAAAAACTGGGAGGTATTATTTCCTGGTTGTGGATTAGCAAACACATAAACGTGTCCTATTAACAAAACAGAACGAAGATCCTCTCTGTGCTGCTGAGTCCGTGTTCAGCTACAGATGGACTCGTAGAACTCCACACACAGGTTGTCCATCTGGACTCAGAGAAAAATGTCTTTTATAGTAAAAAGGTTGTTTTTATTCTTCATGCCACTGAAGGCTGTTAGAAATACGTGCAGCTCGTTAAAAGGAGAGGCACTAAAGTCACCAGAAGCCTGAACACCGGAGAAGACACTTGCAGAGACAGATGGCGGAGGCGGTCTGTCAGGGTAACTCCTGGATTGTCTGAGCAGAAGAGGTTTATGGCAGGGCTGGCTTTCACACAGTGAAGATGCATAATCATTCAGAATAGAAGTATTAGGAGGCCACCCCTGAGGTGGAGCCTGATGTCTGTCTAATGAGGGCACACAGAAGAGTTCGGGGCCAGAGGAGAAGACGGATCATCTCTGATCACTCCTGATGGCCCCGCCGGCTCGTTTGGGTCCCTCTGCTGACTCCTCCACCAGATTAAAAGACCTGAACCACATTCGGGCCAGAACATCTCATCCAAGGAGTGTGAGTGTATTTTTCTCATTTCCTTTGCAGCATGTCACGAAACCTGTGGTGATCCATCAGAAACATGCAAAAGAACCCCGTTGGATTGTGGGACGTTCTGGAGCAGGAATCTAAAACCTCCTTTAACTCTGGGAATCTTAAACCCCAGGAAAAGTCCAGACCGACGGATCTAGTCCTCAGTTTAGAAGCTTGGCTTTCCAAGAGTTCATTTAGGGAATTCTCCTTGTTCGTGGTCTGTCAGCCGTCAGCGACAGGCAGCGCTGAGGATTAAAGGTATAGTCTGTAAGCACGGCTGCTTTGCTTTAAAATATTAACAATGGTTTAGAACAATATTTAAAATATAGAATTAGGATTAAACTAAGTGACTTAAAACTTTACAAAAGATCATTTAAAAAGGTGTTTAGTGTTTATGTGATTAAATAAAATCACAACCCTGATAGCAAGGTGAAAGGTCGGTGTAGGTAGAACACCTCCAGAGGAGCCTGAGATGAGAGGCCGGCCCTTCAGAGGGGTTCGATGGAGGGCCAGACCCACAACCGAGCAAGCGTCTGCTCGCTACGCTAATAAAACTTAGCATAAGAAAACCGTTGGCTTCCACCGCTCTCCAGCTCTGTCTGAATGAGCCACAGCCGGCCGTAGCCGGCGTTAGTCTGCTCTTAAAGAGACAGTACGCTATTTAACCAACACATATTAAATCATTAAAAACACACTTTAGCATGGGTCTTAATTCTTAGCTGAACTACATGACGTTTACACCATTTTTCTAAACCTATAAATGAAATTGTTTCTTTTCAACATGAGCTCTTTATTACAATGAACTGTATTGTGGCCGATAGCCGTTCTGAGCTTGAGATCAGCTCCAACCAAGACGATCCCATTATCCAGTCTCATTCCTCTCACCTGACCTCTCCTTGCGATGAAGCGACGCAGAGCTTGAATGAAGGAGTGTTTCCAGTGACGTTGCCATTTCTATGTGGACAGAACCACATGCAAGGCAGGTAAATGCCACCCCGTATCTCTATACAGGTGATCTTCCTCGCTTCACGCCGAATGGTCCGAATAGATCCACACCGGTTCTGGTGAAGGGTGGTTCATCGGGCAGACTCTGTTTGTTGGCAAGTCCGCCATCATTTGTTTGCCTGATGCGCCCTGTTGTCTGGGACAGATAGCCCACTGGGATAGAAGTCTTCTGACTGACCCATCAGTGATCCAATTCCTTTGACATACATGAGCCAAGACATGATTACGTCCGCTATGTCCCAACCGCTCATGAGCATCCTGGAGAATGAGATCTGCCACATGATGGTTTTTAGGGAGTATCATCAGGTGCTTGGTTTCAGCTGGCATGGATGCTCGTTTGAGTCTCCCTCCAACAAGTTAATGAGAATAAGAATACCTTTATTAGTCCCTCAGTGGGGAAATTGCAGTATAGCAATGGCTCAGGTACAGCAGGACAGCAGCAGCAGCACACAAGATATCGCACAAGAGTACATAATAAGATCATTATTTAATATGAGGATTCGACTACTCTTCTTGGTGAAGTCCTTTCTCAGTAGAGTACATATTTCTTCCTGGAACCTACTTTGTTGACGATGACTAACAGTCCTCATCTCAGCTTGTCGTATATCATCCACCGTCAGGTAAGTCAGCTTGAGACTGGTTTTGTAACTCAACATCTCTTTGTTCACCCTTTGTTGGTCATTACACAACCCTTCCATCTCCTTTCTCTTCCTTGAAAGATCCAGCAGGGTTCCTTTGAAACACACGAGCCACCAAACTGCTTTGCTGAGACGTATCCAAGAGGAACAATACTGGATGAGCTGTTGCAGTATATCAGGGATATCTCAAACTGATGTTGCATTAACGAGAATGCCTCTTTTGATCTCAGGATCTCGTCACGAGTAGGGCTGGACGAACAAAGAAAACAGAATATCGAAAAAATATTTTTTATATTGATCGATATAATTTTTGAAAAATATTTTAAAAATTGTAGAAAATATTTGACGTGCAGCCATTTTATTGTATTTTTTTGGTATTTTGATTTTTTTCTCCGGCTCCTCTCGCTGTAACGTCTTTAGGGCTGCCACAAACGACTGTTTAGTAGTCGACTTATCGTGTCATTCATAAAAGTTTAGCTTATTGCACCAGGATGTTCTAATATACCATCATTGGTGTGATCAGCTGTGTGCCATCTAGTAATAAAGACAAGATGAAAGCTTATCGACAACTTTACTTAACTTTGTAACCTGTTAATACGAATGCTACAGTCAGATGGAGGCAGGCTCCTAAAACCAAACATGACGTGTGTTCACAAGAGGCATGGTGGCGAGGTTGAAGCCCTTCATCTTCCAGTCTTCACTCAGGAAATAGCAGGACACACCACGGTACGCTTCTGTAGTACGGCAGGTCCACACATCAGCAGCCAGGGGCCATCGACAGCTCTGAGGGTCTGCTTTAGCATAAAGATAAAAGATATTAAAGTTAGTTTATTTACCAGATTAATAATTCTGTTATATCTAAAAAAGTACATTAAGATTTAACACAAATAAAATGTTTTATGCTTTAAAAATATTAGTTTCTTGTTGCTTTAGTCAGAAACTTTTTTATTTTATCATAAATGCATTTTATTGTAATGTTTATTGTATTTGTGTCCAGAGAGACCAAGCCCCCACAATGCGGGTGAAAAATTGAGGCCAACGCTGAAATGAAATAAATTGCAGTTCCACCCTCATCCACTAGGGGCTGGTGTCAGAAGCGAGCAAATCCTCATTGACTCCCATGTTAAAAATACCAATTTCACAGCAGAAATAAACATGTTTACAGCCTGGTACCAGAACATGTTTTAGGTTTAAATGATCTAGTTTACACTCATGACAACTCTGAGGGGGGTGAATGTTTTTCTCACTCTTCTGTTTAAGTGTATTAAAAGCCTAAAATTCTGTATAATTAATGAGCATCAGACCCACGTGACCACAGAGCTAGCTCCGTGGAAAGGCCTCAGTAGAGCCTCGGTCTGGCCTGGAAACTGCTCCGGGATTTTGAGTCTCTGTGTTTGTGTATTCTTGTTTGGATATTATTTGTGCAATTGTTGGACAAAATGACTTGCTGTGGCATTAATTGCACTAATAGAGCGTCCAAGGAGTCTCCACTTCATTTATTTCGGTAAGTAAAATTATATTTATGTATTTTAGGTCACTGCCGAGCTGAGCTTAGATTTTAACATGTACTGTTTAACCATGAAATGTAAATGTAATAGGGTAAAACCCAGTGCATTTAACATAATGCTGCACTTTAGAAAATGGGTTGAAATATAACATGTTGGTGGAGCTGGGTTCCCACTATCGGCTTGTGGAGCTCTCGGAGACCTCTGTGTTCCACCCGGTTCTACCCAGCGGTCAGCCCGGCGTATCTCTGACTCAGAAGCTCTGGTGTTGTGCACAGTTAACTCCGGTTGTAGCTAGGTTGCTACCTCCGTTAGCTTAGCTCCCACCTCCGCGTTAGCTTTGGGTTAGCTTCAGGTTAGCTTGTAGCTAGTTCGACCGGGTGTCGTCAGTTGATCCCAGCCTTACAGCCCCACCCTCAGCTCCACCTCTCTTCCCTTTTGTGGAA